CTCTGTATTTTTAAACATAGCACATGATCATAGACCTCAAAGTTTTCCAGTCAGTGAAGCCAAGTGTCATCCCAGCAGGAATCCTTGATGATATGCAGTAGATTCCTAAGGTTAGATTAGATTTAATAGCTAAAAACAGATTACAGAAATGTTTCTACAGACATAAGAGTAGGCTGTGGCTAAAATGTTTGGTGAGTATTCAAATATTCAGATTAAACAAAATCTCTGAACCAGGTGGTGGTAGCACAAGCCTTCAATCCTAGCACTCAGGAGGCAGAGATAGGTGGATCTCTGAGCTTGAGGCCAGCCTGGTCTACAGAGTGAGTTCCAGGACAGCCATGGCTACAGAGAGAAACCCTGTCTTGGAAAACAAACAAATAAACAAAAACAAAACAAAAACAAAAACAAAAACAAACCCAAAACAACAACAACAAAACAAAAACACCAATCTAAATACTAAAACAAACCCATATAACAAAACAAAACCAAAACCAAAATGAAAAGTCTGCAATAGGTGGATAGGTTGCATTTTAGAAACAAAAGAAAAAAATTTTTTCACTTGAGGCTCAGCTCAAGTAGAGGCTAAGCTGTTGTTTTTGCTTCCTTTCTGTGACCATGTAAAACACCCTGACCAAAAGCAACTGAGGGAAGAAAGGTTTTGTTTGGCTTGTGGCTCAAGTTTACACAGGGAGCCACAGCACAGCAGAAACCTGAGACAACTGGTCACTTCACATCCACAGTCAAGAGCAGAAGGACATGGCTGCACTGCACTGCCCATTTTCTTCTCACTGTCTTCATTCTTATAAAGTCAAGGCCCAGAATAGGGGACAGTGCCAGGACAATCAAGGGAATTCTCACAGACATGTCCACAGCCAACCTGATCTACACAATTTCTAGGAAACTCCCTTTTCAGGTAATTCAAGGTTGTGGCCTATAGATGTTTAAATTAGCCAGCACAGCAGCAATGTGCAATAGGAATGGTGGAAAGTATTTGCACAATATTAATTGGACAGGAAGTGCATGCAGTTACTTATGTATTCAGTTTGTTGGAAATTCTAATGAATAAGTACCTGGAGTCACAGGAGTGGCCAGGTCCCCTTCTCCAAGGACCACTAACTGACAGGTTCTACCTACAGAATACTCCAACTTCCCTCACTGCTTGACCCTGTCCCACCCTACAAAGTAGAAAGCGCAATCTCTGGATATGAAATCCCACCAGTCTCCACCCTGGAAAGCTCCACCCTGACAAGTTCCATCCACTTCCCAAGAAACTCTATATTCAGTTTGCTGCTGTTTCTCAACTGAGCAGAAGTCACCCTCCTGGTTCTCCCCTCCCACAATAAATCTGTGTGAGGTTTGTTGTGCAGTGTGACTTTGTAGTACTCTTTGGATACCTTTCCATTCAAGCTATAGTAGTTATGATAAACCCTGATCCTGTCAGACATTTCTGGGAACTATTATTTTGAAAAAGAAAATGAACATTTTTTGAAAATCCATTCCTAAGATAAAGTTATCTTTATTAAATCTTAATAGATATTTTTGAGAGGAACCAAAATTCTCCGACCTTTCTAATATCACAGAATTTAGCCATTTTTAAAAATCTGGAAATAAAATGGAAGAGTCTTTATCTGAACTCATGTTTTTATTTTTAACTGAATGGCATTTTTTATAGTACAGCTGAGAAAATGGTGGCTCTAAATACTTTTTTTAAATAATGAATTGTAACTTAAGCAAAACAATTACCTTGCTAATGAAGAGGTTTTGCTGTTCCTATTGTAATTTATTATATTCCATTCTGATCACCCATTTATGTAATTAAAATAATATCAAAGTCTTTAGCATAACATAAAAATATCCTGGTGTTACTCTTGCTTGCAATCCAGAACTTAGATAAAGGGTTGCATGCTTTTTATTCATTGGGCAATGAGAGAAAAAATGGATAGAAACTTGAAGTATAAGAGTAAAAAAAAAACATAATAAGGTTTACACCACTAATAACTCAGAAATGAAACAGCAAGATTCTCAACATAATTGAGTGACAAAGATGTTATTTTTTTAGCCAAGTCATTAATAAATCCATCAGAAAAAATTGAAGGTATTTTAAACTCTTATTTTAACTCCTAAATGATTTTTTAAAATTTATTTTTCAGTGCTGTGCATGTGACTTTACACTAAGTAACATTCGCAGCCCTAAGAATCTTGTAAAATAAGTGCTGTCATTATAAAAACTATGGAGAAACTTGATGTTTTGTAACTACATACTTCAATTCTGGGCAATTTTCATTAATGTTTTAAAAATAAACGACATTATTCTGATGCCATGAACACTTTAGTCTATAAACATGGTCTCATAATGAACTTTTTTATATTTAAGTGGATTAAAACTTTACTAATCTTTGTTTTTGCTATTACTGTATTACTGTGCTGTTTAGTCACACTCTTTAATGAAATCTTTCCCAAAGAAGGGGTTTTGTCATTAAGAAATTTATTTATTTATTTATTTATTTATTTATTTATTTATTTATTTATTTATTTGGTTTCTCAAGACAGGATTTCTCTGTATTGCTTTGGAACCTGTCCTGGAACTTGCTCTGTAGACCAGGCTGGCCTTGAACTCAGAGATATGCCTGCCTCTGCCTCCCTAGTGCTGGGACTAAAAGTGTTCGCCACCAATGCCAGATCTTCATTTTAACTTCTGTTTTAATTAACTTCTAAAGTAAACAGCAAAATGCATGAAGTTCAAAGTATTTTAAAACTAACTCCTTAATCATACAGAATATCTTTATCACATAAGTTACTCTCCTTGTGCAGTCAGCAAAGAATTTATTTTTTATGTGGGTGGATGTTTTTCCTGTATGTCTGGGCACCACCTGTGAACCTGGTACCCAGTTAAGCCAGAGGACAGCATCAAATCCTCTTTAACTGGCATTACAGATTGTGAGCTTCCACATGGATGCTGGGAATTGAAACTTGGTCCTCTGGAAGAGCAGCCAGTGCTTTTAGCCTGTGATTCATCTCTGAGACCACCAAAGAAAGTTTTTAGTTTTTAGGAAGGGTTCTTCTTGGGTAATTTTTGAGCCCCACCCCCTATCAGGAGCAATTGGCTTTGGCCTTTATGTGTACAGTCTGGCTACATAATCACATTGAGCCATACCTTATTTCTTAACCTCTTGTACCTAGAGCTCATTGCTGTCATTGAATGCCATTGAGGAGCCGAGGGTGACAGTCACAGTTTCCTTTTTTTTTTTAGTAGGGTGTGGACATAAATCTTCAACCTTAGTGTTTCACAACTTACCGAAATATATGTTGATGTAAATTATAAATCAAGCTTATTCTCCCGCCAGTATTTCTTTTCTTTACTTTACCTGGGAACACCCACCTTGCCAACTGTTTTTCTCCTGGGTATTTATTACCCAATTTTACATTCTTATGGCTTGACACAGAAACGTGAAATGTTTCTTCCTCCTGTATTTGTTACTATTTTGGCAAATTTATTTACACAAGCATCTCCTCGGTGAGTCTTAGAGCAGGTGACTCAGCCACTCCTGGTTCCACTGACATAAAATGTTTTTTGTTTGTTTGTTTGTTTTGTTTTGTTTTGTTTTTTTTCCCCCTAGGATTACACTTGGGACACAGTTATCATAAACCTTTAGAGTCTTCTCTCAGGACTGAGTGCCCAGAGAGGGCTACTTAAATCTATGTACCTATGTCAGAGACTTGCAGCTAGGAAGTCTTGATGGAGCCACTGACTGAGAGACTACTGAGCGCCCAGAGCACTGTCAGATATGGTCCCCAGGCTGGGATAAGAACCTGAACCTCACACTGGGTGGAGAGACCGCAGAGGCGAGACCAGGGAAGGGTAAGGACACCGGGCCAGATCATCAGCTGACCTGCAGATCAGAGACCTGAAAGCCAGGGAACTGCAGCACAAAAGCCGGTTGGGGCAGAGGGAGCGGGGCGGGAGGAGAGGGACGGGGCGAAGTGTGCGCACGCGCTGTGTCCACAAACTCTGTGTGGCGCAGAGCGGAGCAGGTGGAGCATCTGGCTGCGCATGCGCCTTGAGTCAGCCGGCGCCTCTGCGGTGGTAAACCGGCTGCGGGATGGTTCCACGGTGCCAGGTAAGAGTTGGTACGCGCAGGCGAACTAGTCTGGGCTTCGGACTCCACCATAGGACAGGAGCTGCTCGGGAGGCCCTTTCTTCCCCTCCCCTCCCTGGCTCCGGGCCTTGAGCCTGCAGCTCACTGAAAGTCAAGTTCTGTCCCCGAGCTCTGGTGGTGGCCTGCAGGACCGACTCCCTTCTGAAGGCTCCTCTACGTTTTGTTTTCCTGTCATTCCTGATGATTCATTTTGACAGACACACTTTTTACAATTAGGTCGCACCAAACTAAGAATTATTGGAAGAAAATGTGTGTTCCCTATGGGTTGACAGGCCCTGGATAATTTGCAGAGCCCGTGATTATTGCGTAGAGACTTAAGCACTGAGAGACAAGTGAGCCGTTTTTTTGCTTGGTCACGTCCCTTGGTTCCCAGGCTGATTGCACAGGTTTGGCCTAGTCAGTACCAGTTTGCCCTGTAATTCAAGCCCATTTGCTTTGCTGCATGTCAAGTTTTGTGTGTTGTGTAACTTAATCGTAATGCAGACTGGAATCAAAGGTCATCTGACCACCGTGAAATGAAAGCTAGGCCTTTGCTGATTCTGTCGTTTATTTTACTTGTGTAATTCACCTCCTGACCCAGGCTCATGCTCACTGATTTATGATTTACCAAAGAATCACTTCTATGTCAATTGAAGTCAGACTTACCATGTTTTTTAAGGAAATGCATTAGGATTTAATGATGCCACACAAGCTTGTGACAGGTTTAAACAGTATGAAGAAATCAGAACTGAGTGTAAAACGTTTGTCTCAAATATGAACCCATAGATGTGTTGAAATTTTATGAGCGATTACACTTGGAAACTTCTCAGTGTGAGTTGTTTAAAGCATCCTTTCTCCTTGCAGATTGAAGTGTTGTATTTTGCAAAAAGTGCTGAAATAACTGGAGTTCGTTCAGAGACCATTTCTGTACCCCAAGAAATCAAGGCGTTGCAGCTGTGGAAGGAGTTAGAGACACTACATCCCGGGTAGTTAAAGTTGTAGAATGCATATAATGGACCCTTGAATGTTTTTAAAATGTGTAAATTATATAAATCTCTCTCTCTCTCTCTTTTTTTTTTTTTGTTTGTTTTGTTTGGTTTGGTTTTTCGAGACAGGGTTTCTCTGTGTAGCTTTGGAGTCTTGGCACTTGTTCTGTAGACCATGCCTGTCTCTGCCTCCCAAGTGCGGGTTGGGAACTTTTTATTTCTTTTTCTTTTTTTCTAAAGTTTTGAATATTGACTCCTGTCTAGTTTGGGGATATTTGTTTCTTTTCATCCCAAACATTAAACTTTTCAGTGAATAGTAATCTAATCTGTCTTTGTAATCGAGTGTCTTCTTCAAGGGATGTACCCTCTACAGAATGAGAGTTAGATTCATACCTTTGTGAGTGGTGAGTTTTTTGATGCAACTGAGCAGATGTGAGGTACAGCTCACTTTACAACTTCTTCTTCTCCTCCTCCTCCTCCTTCTCCTTTTCCTCCTCCTCCTCCTCCTTCTTTCACTTTGCAACTTCTATTCAGACTGTTTCTCTTTCAGATTGGCTGATGTTAGAAATCAGGTGATATTTGCTGTTCGTCAAGAGTATGTCGAGCTTGGAGATCAGCAACTCCTGCTTCAGCCCGGAGACGAAATTGCCATTATCCCCCCAATTAGTGGAGGATAGTGCATCGGAGCCATCTAGGTATGGGGTATCTCTTTTGTGAGGGACCTTACGCATGATAACTTGTATATGGTTTGCTGTCACTATATGTTCTTTGTGAGTCTGTCTGCACCAACCCTTTGCTGATGCTGATACAACAGTAATTGAGATAACTGCACTGATGGAAGGTAGCGATGAACACCTGTCTCCCATCACTGCTGCGATAAGCAGTTGAATGTCAGTGTGACATGTTCGTTATATTCATTTAACATTGCTTATTGAGATCTTCTTATGCTTGTATTTTGATGGTGGGGAAACAAATTCAGAGAAGTTAAAAAAAAAAACCCTCATCTTTGGGGGCCAAGGGGGTCACTCCATCTGTAAAGTGCTTGTACAGACACGAGGTCTTGGGTTGGAGATTCAGCACCCCTGTGAAAGCCAGATGTGGCAGCATATACATTTCATTGCAGCACTGGAAGGCAGAGGCAGATGGATCCTGGGGATGTACAGGCCTGTGAGAGCCAGACTCAGTGAGAGACTCTGTTTTGAAAAATAAGGTGGAAAGTGATTGAGGGAGACACTAATGATGACATTTGGCCTCCACTCAAACATACATGCTGTTCAGGTTCATGAATATACACACACGTGCCTGCACATACACACAAAACCTCGCTTTGGTCACATGGTTTAAATGTGGCCTTAGGTCATAGTGACAGAACCCAAATTTGAATTTGTCTTTGTGATACGGTCCTGCTTACTCCTTGACAAATGTGGTTGCTCAGACCTGATGCTAGCTTCCTCAGACATAAAGAAATTATACAAGTAGGGAGTGAAATGGTTAATGTCCCATTAACAAGACAGTCAACCATTGCCCAGTCAAGGTGCAGCTTCGAAGCTGTGTTGCATTGTGGCTTCACAGGCAGCTTTGCTCACTGTGGAGTGGGATGCATATTTACTTTCTTTCGGGTACTTTGGGAGCATCAAGCTTAAGGATGGAGTCAAAACAGCTTATTTTATTGTCAACTGAAGATAAACTGCAAACTATATTATTATTGATTAGAAATTCTTTAAGTTATGGGTAAAAAAAATCTGATAGAAATTTTTCCCCCTAAAACAACAGTAAATATCCTACACAGAGGCAATGGTTTGTCAGAATTAAAGACAAGTCGAAGGTGCCAGTTTTCCTCTACATCACTTTCCTGGAAAGATGTATAGCAGATGCCAGCATGTCCACACTTGGGGGTCTTAGGCCAGACAGTCTTAGGCCAGCTGTCTGGACATGAGAGGATTCCCTGTTAGAGATGGGTTTTAATTTCATATGGACATTCTGATCAGTGTATCACCATGGTAACCTCAGGGAGTGCTGCTTTTAAAAGCCTGTGCCTGTAGTTGCAGCTATTGAGAAATGTGGGAAAGATTGCTAATAGCATCATATCATGTTTGAGTGATTTGTCCTAGTGATTAGAACCTGGGGGCTATGCTTTAATAGTCTTGTACAACCAGAGGTATGAGGACTCAGTACGGTTGGAAGTACATAGGTGACCTATTTGGTTTCTGTGTTATCAGGAAAAAAAAAGTGGGGTAAGGCAGAGGTTCTCAACCTGTGGGTCACGATCCTTTTGGGAGTGAATGACCCTTTCACAGGGGTAACATATCAGGTACCCTGCATATTAGATGTTTACATTGTGGTTCATAACAGAGGCAAAATTAAAGTTATGAAATAGTGATGAAATAATTTTATAGGTGCGGGTCACCGCAACACGAGGAACTGTATTGAAGGGTCACAACATTGGGAAAGTTGAAGACCACTGGTGTAAAGGCGCTAAGCCCCTCCATTGGCACATGGAGATATGAGAAATCCTGGGAGTCAGTTGGATAACAGGGAAACAAACACTGGATTAGGAGTTCTTAGATTCTCAGGACTTTGAACATGTCTGTAGTGACTTCTCTGAGCCTTCTTTAATTTTTCTAATCAGATGAACTGTCATGGGATTTCTAATTTTGCTTCTCATGACCTCTTACCTGGCCAGCCTTAGGCTAGCCTCTCCCCTTTACTCCTGTGCTTCTAGGCACATCATATTCTTGATCGTAGCAGAGTCTTGAAATTTGCCACTCCCTTTTGTTACTTACACCCTGTTCCTTTTCTTCATGTGGTTACTTCTTATCTCTCAGGTCTCAACTTTGAACATTACCTCTTTAGAGAGACCTTTGGGATCCCTTTATCTGCAATAGTTTCAGAGACCTGTTTGAGAAATTCATTTATTTGTATTAAGTTATCTCGATGTGGTAGGTTTTCTCTCTCTCTCTCTCTCTGTCTCTCTCTGTGTGTGTGTGTGTGTGTGTGTGTGTGTGTGTGTGTTTGTACACATGCCACAGGATGCATGGGAGGTCAGAGGACAACTTGTAGTAGTTGACTTTCCTTCCACCATATATGTCCTGAGCTTGAAACTTGGTAGTTAGGCTTGATGACAAGTACTTTTCTGGCCGTGTGGTTCTTCATTGGTTTGCTTCTCATAGTCACTTATGAGCAATCTGAGGCCAGGAGACTGTGCTTTTGTTCCCTGAAGACCTGTGCCTAGGGTAGTCTCTGGCCCTTAGAATTTCTATTTCTGTGGTGAACACCATGACCAAAAGCAAGTTGGGAACAAAAGAGTTTATGTCTGCTTACAACTCTCAGGTTGTACTCCACTGCTGAGGGAAATCAGGACAGGAACTCAAGGCTGGAACTGAAGCAGAAGCCATGGAGGAGTGCTGCTTACTGGCTTGTTCCTCATGGCTTGCTTATCATGGCTTGCTTTGACCACTTTCTTAGAGCACCTAGGACCACTAGCCTAGGGGTGACACTTTGCCACAGTGATCTGGGTCCTCTCATATCAATCATCAATCATCAATCAAGAAAATGCCCCCCAGACTTACCTAAGCCAATCTGGTGGGGGCAGATTGAGGTTCCTTCCCCCAAGATAACTCTAGCTTGTATCAAGTTGACATGAAACTACCCAGCATAGTATAAGCATATGGCTTTGCATAGTACTGTTTGATGAATAAATGAAAAACTAGAAAAGACTTTACACAATACCTAGATAATAGGAGGTCACACTTGTTACCTTCTTTCCTCCTTGTCTTACTAGGCTTAAGCCAGATTGTGAAGGGCTCCTTGTTCCAATGGAATCATCATCCCTTCTCTTTTCCCTTTTCTTCCTTGAATAAAGGAAAAGGGCATTCTAGGTGTGGGGCTCAGCTGCATAGTGATGTGGGCTTGGTTACATAGTGGTAAATGATGTTCTAGGTGGTATGGGGCTTGGTTATATAGTGGTTGTTCTAGGTGGTGTGGGGCTTGGTTATATAGTGGTTAGTGATGTTCTAGGTCGTGTGGGGCTTGGTTACTTAGTGTTTCCTGATGTTCTAGGTGAGGGGTTTGGTTACATTGTGGTTAGTGATGTTCTAGGTGGTACGGAGCTTGGTTACTTAGTGGTTAGTGATGGCATACATACAGATGAAAGTGGTGATAGCTCAGTTGTATTGTGATGAGAGAGATGAGCAATAATTACATTCTTGGGGGTATTTTGGCACATGATAGGGATCATGCCCATGTTGAATTCCTGTAGACTCATGAGGGATAGTAGTAGTTGTATTAGTTTGTTAAAACTTTGGACTTATCACTCAAATCCTCCTCTTTCCACCTGCTATAGAAAAAGTGGACATGGAAACCACATAAAAGTGGAATGTGTTGCTTCTGATATTCTTGCTGAGGGCTGCTGCTGTCTTGTTTCTAGGGAAGATGTGGACGAGGTTGAAGAGAAACCTAAGGACATAATACAGTTCAGTGCCAAGAAGCTCTCAGTGGATGAAGTCTCACAGTTGGTGATCTCCCTGCTGTGTGGTGCGGTGTCTCTCTTTGTAGGTGAGTTTGTGATGATCTCTGCTTCTTCAGAGTAAAAACCAGTGAGTGCCTTCCATGTTAGTGTCAGCAGTCAAAGGACACAGAGTACCTTCCATGTTAGTGTCAGCAATCAAAGGACACAGAGTGCCTTCCATGTTAGTGTCTGCAGTCAAAGGACACAGAGTGCCTTCCATGTTAGTGTCTGCAGTCAAAGGACACGGAGTGCCTTCCATGTTAATGTCAACTGTCAAAGGACAAAGAGTGCCTTCCATGTTAGTGTCTGCAGTCAAAGGACACAGAGTGCCTTCCATGTTAGTGTCTGCAGTCAAAGGACACAGAGTGCCTTCCATGTTAGTGTCAGCAGTCAGAGGACACACAGTACTGAGTGGCAAACTAAGACTGCCATGTAAGTGGACAGAAATTCTTCAGTTTTAGTTTTATCTTGGTTACTTTTTGATTAACAAGCTGTATTAAATTACAGGGATAATAAAGGCATGATAAAAGTAAACCCTAAGAGAGAAATTTTGCACTTTCCAAATATTGAGCTAAAATGTCTCTGTTGATAATACTGGGAACACAGATATTTTCCTGGAAAGAAGAGGAACACAGCTTGTTTGGGTATATGAATGCTTTCAGAGAGCTTGCTTAATTATTACTATTTCCTGATCATCTTGGAGATAATTAACTTTTGTTCTCCTAGTCAAGTTTTTCTTGTATAAAATTTAAAGTAGGTTTTAGACAAATGTACACCACTTATTTGTAAGTTAGAAATAATCCTTTTAAAAAAAAATGCTATAATGTAATGTATTTCTATTATAGGAAAAAAATCTTAGTTTCACTATGTGATTATGTTGGTTTTTTCTTTTTCTTTTTAGGGACTACAAGAAATAACTTTGAAGGCAAAAAAGTCATTAGTTTAGAATATGAAGCATATCTACCGATGGCAGAAAATGAAATCAGAAAAATTTGTAGTGACATAAGGCAGAAATGGCCAGTCAGACACATTGCGGTGTTCCATCGACTTGGGTAGGATTTCCTTATCTTTCAAATGTTGTGTATGGTTGTCTGTATATTGATACTGACTCAGACTCTCCCTTACTGAGAAAGGAAGGCTTGTCCCCACACCCCATCCCTGTCCTTCCTGCCCCCACCCCCCTAGGACAACAGAGAAGGCTCCCACATCTGCCTTGGCTGCTTGTTGGATTGCAGCTTTGGATGCCCTCGTACCCGCTTTTGCTTTAATGAAATTTAACCGCCAAGACCTTCAGGTCCTGGCCTGCTTGCCTGTGGGAATGTCTCTTAAATCCTTGAGGCCTTTAGACAGTTGTTCTGGGCTCTGGGCTTCATGTATTTTGAAAGTTGGCTACAGATCTGAAGCCATTAAAAACAATTCATTTTTCATACCACCAAAAAGAATGGCATTCCAGGATTTTAGAAGAAGCCAGCAGTTAAGACATCTGTCATTATTTTGTTATTAGTTATAATTTTATTACTAACTGCTAATTCTACTGGGTGTTGCCAATCCTGTTGCTTAAGATTAATTGATATTTATTATTTTTAATTGTATGTTAAGTGTACACGGTCACTTTAGTCTTTATATACTATCTTATACTGTACCTTTTTTTGAATTAGATATCTGTTGAATTAGAGTAGTGGTTCTCAACCTATGGGTCACGACCTCTTTGTGTACTCTTTCACAGAGGTTGCCTAAGAACATTGGAAAACACAGATATTTACATTTCAATTCATAATAGTAGCAAAATTACACTTATGAAGTGCCAAAGAAAATAATTTTATGGTTGGGGGTCACCACAACATGAGGAACAGTATTGAAGGGTCACAGCATTAGGAAGATTGAGAAACATTGAATTAGAGAGAACCTTTTCTTCTTAGTCCCCATCCAAGTTTTATGGATAGAAGCTAATTTCCACTGATCTTAACTGACATAAATTCTCATTTTCTAGTTAAACTAGATACTCAAAAAAAAAAAAAAAAAGAATTACATACATACATATTGTCCCACCTTCTTAGTGGTTTCTTTAATATGTGAATTGGGAGATGTTGGTAATTTTCTTCGTCATCTTGTTACAGTTTGGTTCCAGTGTCAGAAGCAAGCACAATTATTGCTGTGTCCTCAGCTCATAGAGCCGCATCCCTTGAAGCTGTGAGCTATGCCATTGACTCTTTGAAAGCCAAGGTGCCCATATGGAAAAAGGTAAGTGAGGACAATACCTCATTTTGCCATGTGGACATGATTTTATTTATAGATCAAGGATGTTGATGAAGAATACATTCAGAATTTGGCTTCATATGCCTTGTATACCTGTAGAATCTTGTTTTCCTTATAGTGTGTTTATGTAGAGCTGTTTTCCAAGTTTAAGCATAAACAGATATGCCCCAAGGAACGCATGGTGTAGAGAAGGCCTCCGTGAGTGCTGGCAGTTAAAATTACTAATCCATACTGTTTCTGCGCTCCATAAGGCAATCTCTTTCAGTTAGGACTATTTGACTAGAGGTCTTTCTTTGGAAAGTGACAATAATGTTGGCCGCTTAGTCTGGATAAAATAGAAATCCCTTAAGGCAAAAGAGCCTTTATCTAGTGGTTTTTTTCTCAGGGTGGGGAGTGTATATCCTATGTATATACACATACGTGTGTGTGTGTGTGTGTGTGTGTGTGTGTGTGTGTGTGTGTGTGTGTGTGTGTGTATGTATGTGTGTATATAATATATATGATAAAAGCCTTAATAGGACATTCTGTTGTGTTTTCTGCCAGTAAGTCAAGCTAAACAAGAATACAAGAATGAAGAATTCTCTGGTTAATGGAGCATTCTGAAGGGACAACCCCCCCCACACACCTCCACAGCCCTCTCCCTAAACACCCCCCCTCCCCAGAATGTAGCAGCATTGAGCAGACAGTTCTACACTTGGAAATCTTGGAAATGTATACTTATGCATCTGAGTCTAGAACTCCCAAGTTGCCCTCAACAGTGTGGCTGTTCCCAAAGCTGAGGAACTAATGCCAGCTCAAAGGATCAGAAGAGCCACACAGGGCCAGAACTGTCCTCAAAGGAGTGGCTGGCCTCAGTCAGTGGGAAGGATGATCAAGTGGGATACTGAACCAGGGTCTGGGAAATTGAGTGGACATGTTTTCTGGGTGAATTTTGATCCTCTCTGTGGGCTAAAGAGTTTAGGAACTACTTTGGGATTACGGGATAGGTTATGTGTAAAGACTTCATGATTCTGAGAGAATGGGAGGCAAGCCTGCAGGAGGGAGAGGACTTAAGAGCATCCCCAATGAGGTTCAAGTCAGATGGCAAAGATAGCTTTCTTCACTGGAGAGGAGGGGACAGACAAGACAGCTCATGGAGGCCTAGCTCTGCAACCAAGAGCAAGAGGCAGGAGTGGGCATGTACCCTCACTTTATGCTTCCAGGAATAGTTGGATTTTCTATTTGCTTTTCCTGGTTTTTAGAGGAGTGGGAATGTACAGGTGCTCAGAGACAGTTAAGTAAAGCAGGAAACCCAGACCTCATGCAGAAACAGACACAAGGCATTAGTGACCCACCCCATGATATGCAGTGTAGACCTTTCAGACCAAGGATATAAAATGACTGTTGTAAGGAAACTGAGAAAACCCAGGAAAAGCAATTCAGCAGTTTAGTAGAGAGGATGAGAGAGACAGGAAGGGAGGGAATGGAGAGGGGGCAAGGGAGGGAATGAGAGAGGGGACAAGAAGAGGGGAGAGGAAGGGGAGAAAGGAGAAGAGAAGAGTCTTAGAGGTGAAAACTACGGAATGAATTTAAGGGCAGTTGAATCTGGATTTCTCACACTGTAGAGATGAAATCTGGCCAGTGTGGGAAGAGACAGTGACTTTCCTCTTCCTTTTGGGTTGTCTGAGTTCCAATCTGATTCTTTGCCTAGTTCACAATTGAAGATTATCTGAGACACAGGAAAGAGGGCTGCAGGCAGGTAGAGGGGACTGCATAGAGGTCACAGGGGACTGCAGAACATGCCTGTTTAAACACTTCCCAGCTAGTCATGTAACTTCACAGCTGGTGGAAGTCCAGTCCACCTCTAATTTTAGGAACATCCAAGTAGTTGAGTTTGGAAATAAAAAAGGATTAAAGCTAAAGACTGCATTTTCTCATTCATAATTTAGCTCTGGATAAATAAATAGAGATGAAAGAGGTGGGTGGTCCAGATGGAATTGTTTACTCTTTCCTATAGTTGCATCTTGTCTTGTGACAGCTTCTGGCCTGTCATCTGTGTTTGTGTTCTTGGTGCCTCATGGAAGTGTCACTTAGATTGGTAAAAGGGGTGGGTGGTAGCAGTAGTTGTACTATTCTCTTGTCTGACTTGTTCGAGTGTGTTTTATTCTCTCTTGTTAACATGATGCATTTTGATATCTACTGTGGTTTTGTTTTCTAGGAAATATATGAAGAATCAGCATCATCTTGGAAAAGAAACAAAGAATGTTTCTGGGCAGCTGGTGATTAGTCACTTGATTTTTTGGTACTCTAAGTCTTAAATGTGGTAAATAATCTTAGGTTATGCCAATGGAGGAATAGCAGAATGCATGAGTGTGTGAGATGAGGAGCTGTCTAAAGATGGGAAAAAATGGCTTACTTTAAATATGAGATAAGGTGTCTGTGCTAGAGCATCCTTCAGTGACTAACTCCTAATTGTAGTCAACTCACAATGAGCTCTGGCCTTCCTTCTACAGTCAATTGTCCCAGGAAGACCTCTCTGTCCCACAGTGTATTGACAGCCTTGTTGTTAAGCATGTATTACAAAAAATTGGCAGGATCAGAAAGTCATTGTCAGTTTTGATAATATATATTTTACGTAACCTAAAAGTGAAGCTAAACAAATCATGATTCAAACAGCTTAAAAGTAGATCTTGTTTGTTTATAGTCATCGATAATACCTAAGAAATTTTATATCACAGAGACTGCTATGACTTCAGAATCTATAATTATACAATAAAGCTTTTTATATTTCATTAGTTATCAGTATTCTTATGTCTGTACAAACTAGCATAAAATTGTTGTAAAACTAACTAGTAGCAAAGAGGTTTGCATTAATATGGTGTCTGATGTTTAAAAGTTGGCTCACAACTATTTAGAGAGATTATGTAATAATTTATTAAAGTAATTTGGATAGTTTTCATAATGTTTATATAACATTAGCCTATGTGAAGTTATTACTAAAGAAATTAAATTTTCTGCAAGATTATTATACCAAACATCTAGTTTTTGATTGATCAAGCTGTCATGGCAGGTTTGAGTGTAAAAGTCTCAGACAATTTGTTTTGAATTTTTTGGCTTTATTGACTTATAGTTGACAAGAAAAATATAGTTAAGTTCTATAATGTGGTGTTAAGATGCTTGTGTTGTAATGGAATCATCACAACCCAAATGAATAACACATATGTCACTTCATATAGGTTCAATGTGGGTGGGAGCTTAAGGAGCATTCTGAGCTCATAAAGAATTAAAATATCAACATAATTGGATAATTGACATCATCATAGAATTAGGAACATTTATACTAAGAATAAAAACTACTTGTAAACACTTACACTGAAGGGTTTTTTTCTTTTTTCTTTCTTGGCAAGTAGCTTAGTAATCCTATTTATTATATTCAGGAAAACCACATTTTACCTAATTAGTTCATATGTTCAACAGATGGTTTCTGAAAGCCTATCATATGACAGACTTCCACCCCTATCCCCACCTTTATTATCATAAGAAGATTATTTGTCCTGATGGCTGTGAGCAACAGAAGAGCCATGCATCCTCAAGGACCTCTTGGTTACTTGGTCTCTTTTCCTTGGTGCACCCCTAAGGATTGCATCAGAAGGTTACTTGGAAGAGAGAAAAGTCTGTACCCACTTCCATTAGTGTCTGGGGTCATCTGTATAGGTCAGCCTTCTCACTTTAGAACCTCCCTGTCCTTCCCCAAGCTTTAGTCTGCATCTGTGGGGGATCAAGAGCTGGGTGTTGGAGTCTGTTACCCTAACCCTGAAACCACATTAGGTTACTGGGCCACTGTGTATTTTGCAACCCTGGTGTTAATGTGTTGCATTTAATGTTAATGCAAGATGCTTTCACGTTTTAAGATATCTCTACTACTGCTGAGAGTGGCGGTGCACACCTTTAATCTCATCACTAGAGAGGGTCTCTGTGATCCAACATAGTAGCTAGCCTTCCTCCTCACCTCCCATCTTGCTCCAGGCTTGCAGCTTTGCTCTAGCTGGTGTCGGCAAACTACTCCTGCTTCCTTTAGGTTGTTCTGAGACTTATGCACTTTGCTTCTTTCCTTTGTTCCAATCTCTGAGTGTTATTTGCACAGAGGGCCTGTCACAGACTTCCCTGATTAAAAGTAGAATCCTGTCCATTTCCTGTGCTTATGTTTTGTTATGGTAACTGATGTTCTATGAAGTACTACATCAGCAATTTATCACCATCATTAGCTTCAACTCCTTGAGATCAAGGGCTTTGTCACCAAAGTACATGAGCTTATAGTATTCACTCAGATATTTGTTGGATGAATGCTGGTGCTGTTGGTTTCCCATACTGTGTCTCCAATTAAACACTCCTGACATATAAGTTGTACTACATGCAGATATGAAAAAGCATCTAGTTAAATGAACCAGTGGGCAAATGTAGCTACTCTATTCCACTGTGTCGTAATTAGTGGAATCATCCAGCAGAGGGCAGTAGATCCAGCCCTATAACTGTGACTAGAACCAAAAAGTTGAGTTTAGTATAGCCATTCTATAAGGCTAGAGTAGTTCTTATATGTGACCTAGTGTTTAATCCTTAATTGGTATCTTATTTAAAAATTAAGGGTGAGGAGCAGATTTTTAGAGAAATTTTGTTTGTAGTCTTTAATACTAATATAGAACAGTAAAAGGAATCAATTACCTTTTTTAAATGAGTAAATACAAAATTATTGTACAGTTATCTGTATGGGAAAAGATGATGGTTTTAATACAGGTTTTAAAATGCCATCAATGAGAAGGGGAAGTGGGCATAAAGGCCCACTCTGACCAATAAGCTATTTGCAATTGATCCTTGCCAGGAATTGGGAAGTTAATAGACTGTCATTTCATCTGTCAACCACACCCCAGGGCAGTCCTGTGCCCAGGAGTAGTTGGCCAACACAAAATGGATTCCATTGTTTTGGTGCTGTTTTATTTGTTCCATTTTTTGAGGGGGGTGGGGAGAGGAGAAACAAAACCGAAGTTGGATGAGTAGGGGGATGGGAGGGCCCAGAAGAATCGAGGGAGGGGAAAGCATGTGGTCAAATACATTGTCTAACATTTTTAATAAAAAAGTAATATAGGTCTTTCCATAAAGAAAATAAAAAAAAAACAATGACAACAAAATGTTCTTTCTTCTGGCTTATCTCGTAAGCACATGTTTTTCTATAGCTGTCAATTTTGGGGTGGGAATTCACCATGAAGGAATGCCTGATACCTGAATAGGAGATGATTTATCATTGATACAGATGGTGACACAGTCACAGCCTATCTGAGCATTGCAGTGGACTGCTCTGCATTAGCAAGCGCAGTCTGCAAACTTAAGTCCATTTAGCTTTAGTTCTTCATTTTGTTCATTTCAGTGTGTATAATTTTTTTCTTAACATTTAAGTCACCTCCCGCTTCATATTAAAATGTTTTAACTGTGCTTTGATTTTCTACCAGACCAGAAACTTAGGCTACTGACAGCCAGAGTCTTCTTAAATTGAATCTTGAATGTGTTCTGAAGCAAAAGTAGTCCCTAAGACATATTGAAATTTGTAACTTTGTAATAAAAATCCACATAGAGTAGCTTACTTTCAAAACAATTTTAATGATATTTAATGACAGAATATGAAAATAACAATTTACAATTAAATAAAGCTTTTCTGTCTGGTCCTTGTGCTTTGATATCAGAGAAGCTTTTATTTATGTCAATTACTGCAATTTGATTGTCTCTAAGAAATCAAATAAATTCACCAAGTTGGTGTACAACAAATACATTCATCTTATTTACTTTTGGTGGACAGAAAAATGACAAAACATACTTAATTCAAACCTGTACCATTACATCTTACCAAGATTACTCATCTAATCATCATGTGTGAAGTAAGATAATCTCCTCCTTTAAAAATAGACAATTCTAATATAGTTGTGCAATATATACATTTACATTTTGGCTTCAGTTGCCAAAGTCAAGTACAAACAGTACAATATGTATTTACACAATGACTACATCTTTATACTTTAAAATTCAAAGTGGTAAATATTTCACTCCCAAATTTGCCCCCATGTTTATCTTCTAACTCTAGATGTTTACTCTTCCATGTTAATGAAAATGAACATTCCTGGGTGTACATGAAGGACATAGTCCTAGGAGATTGTATACAGAATTGTTCTGTGTGAAAGGAGCTGGGAGCCCTACTGAGAGTCCCACCTTCTATTTAATGGAATCTTAATGAGATTGTCACATGTTAGGTTGCAGCGCTTTGTCAGGATAGACACAGTATGACATTATACTTTATAATTTAGAGTAATCACTGTGCACCTATCATAAAATGGCTTTCATTTTCTTTATTCTTCACAGTTAAAAGGCAAGTTTCACTGTTTTATAAAGTAACACTGCTAGCTAGAAAAATATCTGTTCAGTTAGGCATTCCTAGTTTGCTGTGAAGATGAGCAGTACATAATTTTAAGTGAATCCAGTATCTTTATTACACTATTTTACCTTGCTGCTGTTTATAGAATTGTGTGGTTACCAAGCAGGAAGCGACTCAGGTTTTTAAGATCACATTTTGTGATATACCATTTATGAAATGGAAATTTTAACCTGACATCTCTTGAGTCCTATACTTACTTTTAAATCAAAGGTATGATTGAATGGACTACATAACTTCCTTTCAAACACTGCCTACCCGCCAACCCCTCCCCCAATAATTTCTTGAGAACATTCATCTTTGCTTAAAATTTCTTGAAAAATACAGGAGTCCTTTAGTAAACACTGGGCATGGGACTCAATGGGGACATTTGTTATTGTCATGACTGTGGGGGAAGATGCAATCTGTCCCTGAGTTGGTAGAGGTAATGGATGCTGTGTCAAACCCTGTAAGGAACAAGACAGCCCCTCCCCTCATAGAACTACCTGCTCCAAAATTACAGTATTGCTAAGGTCACAGACCCTGGGCTAGTGTGACAAATGGTTTAGAGACTGTGTCAGGGTCTTAGTTGTAACCCAGCCTTACCCCTTAAAAACTGAAAGTCAAGGCTCATCAAAGGTCTCAAGCTCTGTGTGTATAGGAGTAGATAACCCCAGTTTACTGCCTGTAGGAGGAGAGGAAGGCAGTAAAATAAAGGAAAGGTGTGCCATGGGCACTGATAAAGCACACTAGAAAGCTAGTGTGTGTGTGTGTGTGTGTGTGTGTGTGTGTGTGTGTGTGTGTGTGTGTGTGTGTTAGGCTAACATAGCATGTGAAGTATTCTCTATGAACCTAATGACTGTTTTCTCCAGTCTAAAAGAAAATTTTGGTTAGAATGACCCACTGACTCTACACAGCTCTTAAAAGAACTGGTCTCTGGATCTACTAAGAGAGTATCAAGCTGTTTTTGCGGTGCCTCCCTGACATTTACGGCTAATACTTTTCCCCTTCCATTTGTCTGGCTTTATCAAGAATGAAGTAAGCCACTAACTGGTCCAATTAGCTCTGGACCGACACTCAGGAGCCTGGCCATCCATACACACACGGGCAAGCTGTTTTTCCTCTGACCTCTCTGGTTTCCATTCTCAGATGTTGTGCAGTAGGAAATCCTTATGGTAACTTCTAACACTGAGTCACTTCTGAGCCTCCCCCCCCCCCCACTTCCCCTTTCCTAAGGAGAACAATGAAGTTCCTAGCGGTTAAGGATTGGGCCAAAGCTTCATGCATATAGTGTGTGACAGAGTGGTTTCTACTGTTGTTCCTTGAACCCCTTTCTTCTGGCTCTCTTCTGGAGAATGTATAGGCTCAGAAATAAGCTGCAAAGGGTGGAGAAGGTACAACTCCCTGGAGTGCAGCCTCTTTACATCACCATGACTGGCTGCTTGTCAAAAGGAGGACCTTGGGCTTTCGACCAGCCTGACCTAGTGAGAGTTTAAAGACTTAATGCATAGTTTTGCCTGCCTGAGTCAAGCACAGATGGCACACCTACATTAGTGGTTTCAGCTGCTCCTCTAATCTACAAATCCCTGAGCTGTTCCAATTCCCTTATTTATAACTGCTACAGCTACACATCCAGGCTTGGTTTTCTTTCTTGTGTAGCAACAAATGAAAACAGTCCCCTAAAGCTAAGGAGTGTGGAGAGTAATCACAGGTGTGTGGACTAAACAGGGGTCTCTCTCATCCCAACACCTGGGGTGGTGTGTGGGTGGTGTGTTGGGATTCATGGTGTGGGAGATGGGGCTGGCAGATAAAGGAAAGTGATAACTGCTGGAGAGAAAGGCAGGCCCCTTCTGTCATTAAGGGCAGTAGGGAAGGGGAGACATGGGAAGCAGTTAGCAAAATAAATTGTTCATCTCTAGCAAATGCACTAGGTTCCTCCCAGCTAGCTAATCAACTGAAAGAGAACTCTTGCTATTCCTAGAAGGAGTGCCCCTCCCCCTTTCCTTTGGCAAGGGATGGTCCCAGCAGACAGTTATACTATAAATTTGTAACAGTATAGACAGTATAGGTTACTAGTAAATTTTCATGTTTTGGCTTTTGAACTGGCCCTTGCCCAGCAGCCCCAGCATCATTTCACCTTTTGCTTTTAGACAGGATCTCCTTAAGTTGTTCAGGATAGCCTTGAATTCACTGTACAATTCAGGGAGACCGCGGCCTCAGACTCCTGTCTTAATTTCTCCGGTAGCTGAGATTACTGTCCTGCAATAGCAGAACCTTTTTTTTTTTTTTTTTTTTTTTTTTTTTAAAAGAAACTAGTTTATAAATAAGATTGTCATTTAACAGTGTCCTCTATGGCAACCATGGATGAGCAGCATAAATTGAAAAAAACAATCTATGCTGGTTTTCTCTCTTTTTAACAAACATTAATATTTATTATAGTAATATAGTTATATATATGTGGAAGTACTCAGTATTATATATATTATCTACAATATAAGTTATGTCACAGTTTTATATATACATATATGTAATATGTACTTATATATGCTATATTGATAATATATAACATACATAATATGTGTTATGCATTATATACATATCAGGTACTTTCCACTTTTTCTGATACTGTTAATTAAATTAAAAAGAGCATTCCCCATGCACTTTACCACCCCCCCATATGAAAATGTTACAATTTTCTTGAAGGCTTGTCATGCATAAATACATCCCATCTTCCTGACACAATAAATGTTAGCATGTAAACACTGGACTAGCCAGTCTAGAGATTACTCTGTTTTCCTTTCTATATAATGTCTTTGGTCTTCCTAGCCCTAACCACCACCCACAATGTCTTCTTCCCCAACTGACCAGCAGTTACTCTAAAATTATCAGGCTAGTTTCCCTGTTAAATTATTTAAAGCTGGACTGTAAGAGAAATCCATTCACCACACAGTGAACCCTAGCAGGGATGTCGCCAGCCACCATGCCGTGGTGTCGCGGGGGTTTAGCTGTTGAGTTCTGTGGTCTCATCCGTCTCATCTGGATTTTGGATTATTTTTTTATATTGTCTTTTGAAGAAGCCAAGCTGTAAGGTGACAACATAGCCTGTTACCACCCTGTGACTACAGTTACCTTTGATCATTACCCAACAAGCATATCTATTCTCACGGCACTGTGCCCAGAAAAAGAATGACATTACCACCCATGACTTCCTCAGCATGTGCCTTTGACCTGCTTTGTTGCCCATTTATCTGCAGCCCATCTGACTGCCTGCAGGTTTAGAGGGACTGGTGCAGAGGCTGCTGGCTAATGTCTGAGCACCCATATGTTGAGGAACTTTATGTCCAGAGAGTTAAGTTTCATTGTACGAAATTGAGTATCTGTCATAGCTATTTGAAACTGAACAAAATGTTCAGGGTGCTGGGTGACAGGGAGGTTAAAACAAAAACCAAGTCCTTATTGGATTTTCAAAGACTTGAGTAAGAAAGTAAAAACATCCTTGTATTTCTTTTCTCAATGGCAAGACATTCCATGCCATGCAACACAGGGGCCTTTGGTAGTACCACATTTTAGCCATGAAGTTTGCTTACCTTCCACAAACCTGCAACCAGAGCCAGCAGCAAGAGGATCCCAGCAATTATGCTTCCTATTATAACCCCTGTTGGTACTTCTGCTTTCTCAGTGGGTTTCATTATCATAAGGGGAATCTGTAAATGCATACACATGCTCACACTGAATTATCTATGTAGCAGAAAAGTAATATGGCCTAACACAGTTCAATAACTTATACATATGATCTACAGTTCTAGAGGGGAGCTGTAACTTGTCATCATGGCATTCGTCCCTCAAGCATCATATGAAACATACTGCAGAGACAACTTGAGAACTTGTAATGCACAATCTTTCTACTTTATCTTCTTCAGCTCTATTGCTGTCTTATGGCTGTGCTGAGCTGAAGGCATCAAATGCTTTCATTGTTTAAAGTAGGGACTTCAGTTTCTGGTGCAGTGTGTGTGTGTGTGTGTGTGTGTGTGTGTGTGTGTGTGTGTGATCAAATGAGATCAAAGCATCCGAGGCAGGGGGTTGCAAATATAGCCTCATCCAACCCTTCAGTTAATAACTCTGTATCAGTTTTTAAAATACTGATTTCGATCTTATTCATGTTTGATATAACACACTTGGAAAAGTAGAACGGATAGAATATTGCAGGGGTGAGGTTGACATTTTCAGTGATGACATTGTCCTTGGGCACATTTATGACTTTATGCCCATGTCCCACAATGATCTTTGTGGCAGTGGAGTAGAATGGCAACCCCATTCCAGTGACACTTTATACTCTTTTTCTTAGTTAAGAAGAGGAATCTCCACAAAATATTCTTAGAGTTACAGAGCAAAGGGGGACAAAAATTTATTTACTTGATACCATGTTAAACTGTAATGACAAAGGAGCTGTCGTTTTTGTTTGTTTGTTGCTTCTTGTTTTGTTTTGTGAGACAGGGTTTCTCCGTGTAACCTTGGCCATCCTGGAACTCATTCTGTAGACCCACCTGGCCCTGAACTTAGAATTCAAGAGATTGGCCTGTTTCTGCTTCTCTAGTGCTGGGATTAAGGGCATGCATCACTGCCACCACCTGGCAAGCTGCTTTTCATGGTGGGATAAATAGGAAGCCAGCTCTGTGACTATGTTTCTCCTCTTTTGTGTTGAAAAGCTAAATTGTTCTTTTATGAATGAACAATTTTATCAATGAAGTTACTGTGAATTTGTGCAGTTCACTGCTGTGTAGTAGTATGGTACCAAGGTCATATTCCAGAGCCCACCCATCTGACACTTGGATCACCCTGAACCCTTGAGCACAATGCCTCATGTGTCTGATTTTGAAGTGGGCCTATGAAGGTGTGTGCCAATATATTATTTGGGTTCCAAGAGTTTCTCAAAAGGTTATCCAGATTATTGTTTGGATTACAGGATTTCCCAGACACAAGTAGAAGTCAGTCTCTGCTTTTAATTAGTACTGCATATAGAAAAACTAGGAAAGGAAAATTCTGGTGGATTTGTGAAAATGAAACTTTGAATTTTCAGTTAATATCTTCAATGGCTGCTTTCAGGAAAGGAAGACTTTAGTAGAGTTTACCTATCCCTTAATGCTACATTTTTCTAAAGCCAGCTCTGAGAACAGTCTATACTGCTTTCTTCAGTCACTAGGCTCACAGCAGTTCGAGTTTGGAGCCTGCACTTCCTTTGGCTCTGTTTCTGGGTTTCCATGCCCAGCCTCTGCAGAGAGGGTGTGGGCTTTCACCAGGGTTCCCAAACCAGAGGCAGAAAAGCAGCCTCTATTGTGTGGAATCATTTTTCGTAGGACAAGAGTGGGACAGCAGGGCTGTGAACTCAACCCAGGCTTTGAGAGAGGCCCAGAATTCGTGGGGCCCTTGGCTTTTCAACTGATCTGTAGGCTGGAGCACTGGACAGAGGCCAACTGTCCAGCTGGCCTTGGGGACAGAGTTGTGAATTGACTTCCAGTTCTAAACAAAAGCTTGGGGAGGAAAATGCTGGGGGCTCTGCCAGCAGATTAGCTGGGTATGGAAATCCTGCTGTAGCTAAAAATGGTACATGCTAGCCAGAGGCTCACTGCTGAGGAAAGTTGCCTCTGCCAGCCCCAGGAACAGACAGCCTTTGTCTTCTGTAAAAGGACAATCCTCCATAGTACTCCCCCTTTTAAATAAAGGTGACATTTGTAGTTCTTTAGACTGTGAGGCCATGAATGGACATGTCACAGTGTCTAGTTTTAAGAAGTACTCTTTAGAAAAAGTTTAATAGATGCCTTATTTACAAACTCATTTATAATGCTCTAGATCTGATTCATGAGTTAAGTCAGTGCTTCGGATCCTGATGGTTTCTCACTGCACATGAAGAGGTAGTGATGCTACTTGAGGCATGAACTGTCATCATGGTGTCACACATACTACAGAGCCCCTCTGCTTGTACCTATTTGGTGGGTTGTCACTTCTAGAAAACCAGCTTTGCAGCATGGCGGGCTAAGAAGAAGGCAAGTGTGTCACTGGACTTTCTGAGTCGCAGCCACCCTGGCCACATCTCAACCTAATAAAGCCCAGGCTTTCAGCATGTCCACCAGAGCCTTCTAGATGCACAGAGTTGAGAATGACTGTTCCATGTTTTACGCACTAGAATGCCCGTCCCAGGGAGTCACGCAGCACACACTCACCGTGACGGTTTTGTCCTCGATCACGTATAGCTGGGGGTTGTGGGTATCCATTTCTGCTGCTGCTGTCAGTTGCACAGTCTGGAAAGTCGACTGGAACACAGAATAAAAACATTGCGTTCTTGCAGGAGTAAACACAGAAAACCTGGCAGGTTTAAGGCTGTTTAGTTCCTGGCAGAAAGTCACAAGAAGAAAACCCAGTTCTGAAGACTCATCCTTTGCATGCTTGAACTCGCTGTGTGGACCAAGCCTGCCCATCAGAAGTTGCTGAGCAGCCTTTGAAAAGTGCAGCAGTTGGAGCCTGTTGCTGCGAATTAAACCAAAAACTCAGGGTGGCACCCAGATGGGAGCTTTGGAAACACCTCTGAACATTATTCAATTTTGAAAATGATTCAAAGAGAAGGCTTACAAGGCCTGTTTTTAAGAGGAAAAAAATTGTCACTGAGATTTTTCATAAATTTAATGATGCTTAATGCATGAAAGAAAATTGCACATAATACTCTTTTACCTGTACCTGAACAAGGCACATAATCAACAGGACACCAGCATTTGAGTTTCTTCTTCGATTGTATAAAATATTACTATCTCAAAGTTATACACGTTGTCTGCAGAAATCTGGAGCCTTCTTACATGTTATATCACATTAGGAATGATTTCCCATGTCTCTATCAGGTGATGCTGACTGGGTGGATGTATAAGCGCATACATGTGTGCTAATGCTATGAGTACGGATATAAAGTAAGCTCACATGTCATCATCAATTTGTTTGTGGAAAAAGAGTCTGCTCAGTGGGAACATGATGATCCGAATGTCTTGCTGTTAGTGATTGCTATACAACACAAATTGTGGGCCTGATAATGATGTGTGATAGAGCAACACCCAGACTTTAGAGACATCTTCATGTGTGCTGGCTATTAGGACTCCGTTGTTCTGGTTACCAGGGCACACAATTCAACATCTTCATGAAGTAATTTGCTAGACTGTATCCAGGAGCCAGCAAGAGAGAATGCATTTCCAAAAAGTGAGCAATTTGTTTCCTTTCTGCTGGCCCACTCTATGGTTATTCTTAATTTTCTCAAGATGGAAGATCACATCATATGTTAACCCTAAATGCTGATCTTTTAACATATACTATAGGTGAAACATTAGGAGTATTCACATGGTGTGTGTGTGTGTGTGTGTGTGTGTGTGTGTGTGTGTGTAGAAATGGTTCAGGGATTAAGAGCCCTCCCTGCTCTTGCAGAGGACTCCAGCTCAGTTCCCACCTCCAATTATAGAAGATCTAATTTCCTCTCTTGACCTCCAAGAGTACCCACATGCATGTGGTACACATAAGCTCATGGATGAGCATACATGCATGCTCACATACATTCACCCCCCCCCTGCACACACATACACACACACCCTTTTGTTTTTAAAGTTCTGACAATGGTAGGAATTTAAACAAAAAGTGGCAGTCACATGAATGCTAGACTGTGTGAGGAAATAATTGTTCTTAAAATGATCATATAGCTGCCCACACAGAGTTGGCTGTTCTTACACATGCTCAATATTCTGCAATAGTAATTAGTAGAGGAAGGCATACTGTACTGCACACACCCAGAAGAGCAGAATAACACACTTGCTAGCATTCACCAATGTATTCCTTACAAAAAGGCAGCCAGTGCTATTGGGGAGGACGGGCAATCTGTGTGTGATGAGATACTTGAGATGTTAAGCTGATGTGCACTGCATCAGAAAAGGGATTAACAGGAAGAACTGCATAGTGAACCCCATCCAGGAAATGAGACCCTAAGCTCAGACTGCAGCATCTACTTGGCTGGTAAAATAGATGAAAGTAGAGCAAGGGTAAAAAGTTGACCTAGCATGGAGGAGAAAGATGTGCTGGGCTTGACACCCAGTAACTCTGAAGGTTGCTTTCTCCATTTAACAACTGTAACTATTGTGGAAAAGGATAAATTCTTCACTGCTTAAGAACTTGGCTCCCAGAAAGGAAACACTAGCCCTGAATCTGCCGAGAGTCACTTTCACACAGCCTGATGGCTAAAATATTGTAGCTTCTAGCAATCTCCAGAAAACCCAAATACTTTTCACAGAGATGGAGCGACAATCTTTTGATGTGCAGAAGTCTGTTTTTCTTCCCACTTGGCAAAGTTGGTTACAAAAATATTTGGTCTTCAGGTCTAAGGAGCCAGGAACCCACTGAGTAGTACCAAGACAGACTGAATACCAAGACTGAGTACTAAGACTGAGTACCAAACTGCAGCATCTGGGAGAGTGGTGGGGCCTCCAGCATCACATCTTAGGACTTAGATGTCCTAGATGCTGTAGAGCCAATGCAGCTGGCAGTTCTGTAATCTTTCCCTAAACTCCCACCACTATTTTCATATTGTGTCTTTACTCAGTCTTACAGCTTATGTTTTGACTCCAGGGCCAAGGTAGGAGGGCGAGCTCTAATCTAACACAGAACTCCAACTGAGAGAATGGGGATGATTGCGATGTGAAATGGTGAAAATGGAGGGATCAGAGTTCATTGAGATCCAGTGAGAGCCACACAGATCCCTGGGAGATCCAGACTAAGACAATTTGTCAGTGCTCAGAGCCAGCATTGGAAAAGTTGTTAGCTAGCCATTCAGTCAGTAAGGATTCAAGTAGGCTGAGGCTTGCCCCTTCTTGTGTTGTCTGTATTTACGTTGTTCCTGCCATACTAAAATCATGGCTACCCAATCCCTGATTTACTCTCGCCTGCTATACAGAGAAACAACACTGACAATTGTTTTGGTGTTCTTTTTCATGGAGGTTGAAATGGCCTAAGAGTTGTATCCTTTCTGTGTTTACCATCAAATGGAATTAAACCAGGAAAGTAGAGTGTCTGTCTGTTTATTAATAGAGAGAGATGGAATCTTACTCTGGATTCATCTTTGCATGGTTTAAGATCAATGACATACTTGGCCGAGAACTCAAGAATAGGGACAGGGCATGGACATCCTGATTCAGGTGTTACTACAAAAAGAGAGCTTTGGGGACATCATGAGGGAGATGAAGAAGATGTTGTTTATGGCAAGGACTCCAAAGGCATCCTCAGCACCATTCATATAGATACTATGGGCTAGTGTGGCGTTTAAGAGGCAGACCCCTTGAGCTCTCCAGATGATTCTGAGGCAAAGCCAGACAGGGCAAGCATTGGAAAGGGATGTGAACTTACTACCTAGAGTACAGTTGCTCTGGCTTGCTTGGGCATTGCTGACTGCAGGCAGGGTGCTATTCATCAAAAAAAGGGGGAAGATTTTTGGCAATGAAGCTGAATGCTTTCTTGCTGTCCCTTGATAAACCCAGTAGGTAAAGCTGACACTTACAGCAGCGAAGGTCCTGTTCCAGACTCTGGTAGTCACATTGATAAAGTACTCTGTTTTCGGGTGAAGTTCCTTCAGCCAGCAGGTGATGTCACTGCAGGAGGTGGTTGTGCAGTCCTTTCAGATCAGAGTCCATGGGGGAGAGAGAGAGAGAGAAAATGGGTGTTACAAATGCTAAAACTTTAGAAAAAGATAAAATAGTGCTAAGAAAGACCTGTGGTAACAAGCATTATCAAGCTCTGTTAGTACTTATATCATTGTTTGTGCATTTATATCTATTATTATTTATATTAATTTATATGAGTATTCATATCTGTTTATTAGTATTTATTACTGGTACTTAGCTCTATTAGTGTTTATAGCTATTGCTAGTATTTATACTAAATTATTACTAATTATTATCTTCAAGGGATTTTGCTATCATGTTTCAGAATATAAAGAGAGTTGACAGCTTTTTTTCCCCAGATATTTCCTATTTGTATGGATAACTTCAGAGATAACAGGACTATGTGAAAAGAAGAGTGTTGCAGAATAGTTGTTTAACCATGTAAAAATGTGTTGTATTTGTTTAGTTATGTAAAGATGTGTTGCTGTTTTACCTTGTCTATCTAAGGTACCTGATTGGTCTAATAAACAGCTGAATGTCCAATATTGAGGGAGGAGGTATATGTGGAATTTCTGGACAGGGGGAGGAATTTAGGCTTGAGGAGAAAGAAAAAGAGACACCAGAGAGACCAGTCAGCCAAACACAAAGGAAGCAGGGAAGTAGGGTATATAGAATGAAAGAAATGTAAAAATCCCTGAGGCAAAATATAGATGAATAGAAACAGGTTAAATTAAGTTGGAAGAGCTAGTGGGACAAGCCTAAGCTAAGGCTGAGCATTCAGTATTAGTAATAAGTCTCCGACTTTATTTGGGAGCTAGTTAGTGTCCTGAAGAAAATTCCAACTACAAAAGGGCACAACCTGTTCATTATACTATTTATTTATACTATATACAACCTGTTCAAATATACTATTATCAGAAATATGCTAGGCAAGTAAATTATTGAACAGAAACAACAGGTCATATAATTTAGTCATGAAATGTAAGGATAATAATGAATTTCCTAGATTAAGATATGTCAGTAAAAGAATCAGTAGTTATCAGGGGTTAGGAGAAAGAGGGAGGTGTGAATACACACAGCACCATAGGTTTGTAGGGCTGTTAAGCTGCCATAATTAATGGACACAGGTCATTATGCATTTTAAACTCCACAGTGTGAATATTTGAAATTCCAACCATGAGCTCTAATATAAACTATGGCGTAGGCGATATGATCTGTTAGTGTAGGTCTGTCACTCATGACAAAACCTACACTCATCATGGGGCTTCGATGGTGGATGAAGCCATGAATATGTTAGAATAGGAGGTATATGGGAAATTCTTCTACATTTTATATCATTTTTTAATGAATTGCTTTAAAAAGTAAAGGCTTTTAAAACAGTTTATGAGGCCTAAAGAGTTAGCACAGTGGATTAGAGTACTTGTGAACATTAGGACCTGAGCATCCACATGAAAAGCTATGTGTGTCTGTAGCTGCAGTGCTGGGTGAGGCAGTGCAAAGATCAGTGAACCCTGACAGTTCTCTGGCAATCCAACCTAGCCAAAAATGGTGGCCATCCAGTGCAGTGAGAGACCCTGTCTCAAGGTAATATGATAGAGTACAATAGAGAAGTGCCCCAGCCTCATACTCCTGTCTGTGCAACATATGACCACACATACACACACACACACACACACACACACACACAGGGACACACATACTGTACTATATAAATAGACACACATTGAATAGAGACATAGGCACACACCATGCTCCCACAACACACACTGCACACATACACATATTCTCCCCCCACCCCAAACCCTGAAAACCCAAAAGCACGGTCTATAACATTGGCTTGCTTATGGCCTAAAATAACATGGCTTACTAATACAACAACATCCATATACATCTACATATTAATACATATAGAAAAAAGTTTTATTTTTGTCCTTTTCTGTTTATTCCATCCATCACAATATAAAAAAATTGCAAATAAAGCCAGGACAACTTCAGTGTCACTGAAGTTGCTTGGGGTTTATTGTTTACTTACCCGATGGATGACTGAGTCTGTGCCAAGAACCATGCTAGCTACTACACTAACCCCACCCTCCCCCCAGAACAGGGCTGAGCTGGGAACAGGCAGTAAGCACATGGGAGTCCCTTTTTTAAGTTAGCAGAGGAAGTGTTGCTTTCCACCAGCTGTTTTCCTACCTGATTGTTTCTGTCAATTCTCTTTCCCTACTCACCATCCCTGACCCTTTTGCATCCTCCACATCCAGGAGCCCCCTTTTCACTTCCATGCCACATCACACATGTCCTGCTGATGCTGTGCATGGTTGACCAGAGCTCGAAAACCGGTTTGCTATATATATATCCTAATTCACACTCAATATCAAAGGCAAAAGGGCAGTCTAGAGTGTCCACTGCTGGTCTAAAACAAGAGCCCTGGTTCCAGGTGCAACAAATACCAGATCACTTAAGGCAAATTCGGCAGGAACATTGACATCTCCTCACCAATTCTTTCGTGTGCCAGAAGTTTTCACTCTTGAAAGCTACAGGAAAGGACTCGTGTCCCAGCTTTAGTGGGTTTATTTCTGCTGTGCAACTGATATCACCAGCCTACAAAGAAGAAGACCACGTCAGATGTGGAAAGCAAAATGGTTAGTGCCATTCCTTTCAGCCTGCCAGGAAATCCTGCCATCATGTGGGGTATGGGAGGGGCCCTGGGCTCCTTTCTCAGGGGCTCAGTGGCTAGATGCTTCAGGAAAGTCTGAAGTATTGCAGTCAGCTGATGTGACCTGATGAGACAGGCCAGTTTCTTGTAGCCTGTGCCTGTCATGATTTCAGTGTGGCTTGTTCCTCAAAGGGCACACATTAGAAGTGTGATCTTCAAGTTGGCAGTGTAGAGAGAAGATGGGACCTTCCGAGTTGAGTTTCAGTTAGAACGTCTGCAGGCTAATTGGAAGGATGTCCTAAAAAAGGGAGTTCAGAATTCTAGGCCCTCTCTAGTTTCCTACTTGGTGATGTACTGCCATTTCCCCCACCTCTTGTACCAACTACCATGAGACCCTCAGGAAAGCTGAAATGATGCTGGCATCATATCATTGAATTGCAGGAGCTGAGGGTTAAATAAGCATCTTTATGTGTAAAATTAATCTAATCTCAGGCATTTTATTGTAGCAATGCAAAATGAGCTAATACTTTTCATGTATGACATGAGACCAAGGGGCTGGTCCTGCAGACCCATACTTGTAGGATCTTCAGGACACAGGAAACCAACAGGAGTCCCAGTAAGGGCCCAGCAGGGATAGTGTAGCAGAAACCAGCAGCCTTGAACCAGCTCAGTGACTCTTTGCAATGAACACTTGCAAGTTAAGATATATGGACAAGAGGGTTTACTGTGTGATTCACTATGCCACACTACAACTGACGTGATGGGTTTTTCCTTTTCCCTCTTAAGCTTTATTTATTTGTTTATTTATTTTGGTGGGGGAGTTACAAGGGCAGAGGGTAGATATGAAAGGATAGGAAAATGAATGGGATAGAGATGCATGGTGTGAAAGATACAAGAAATAAATAAAAAGAAAGTTCGTTGTTTTCCTTTAAAAAAAAAAGTTTATAGTAAAATAGGACACACACCGAGTGGTTCAATTCAAGGTTCTTCTCTCTGGAACATTTTAGGGCTTTAATTTCTTGAAATCTACTATGCATATTACAGAACTCATACTACTGTAAGACCTGCTAAGTGCTCAACTGAAGAAGAGCCAATGTTAAGACATATGGCTATGTCAGGCACTGCCTCTTGGTTCAGGCTGCACAGAAGAACCCATGTCTGTAACCTTTATGCCAGTGTTCTGGCCTTGTCTTCAGATTCTGAATCCATTGCCTTGATGTTTCTCCTTAAAAGGAAACTGGGTGACTAAAATGAATAGCTAGGGCTGACTCCTCCTGTGTGAAAGTCCCATCTAGCTCCTTGAAGACTAGCTACTAATTGCAGCTCTCAAGACCTACTGTGTGCCCACAGTAGACTGAACTTGTCACTTTTGAGTATCTTCTCCTAGCAGGGTCTGACTGAGTCAAATCCTCTCCTCCCCAGAACAGATTTTTTATAATAATTTCAGCCACCAGAACACTGTTTTCTTAGGACAGAGTTCTGCTTATAATATGAAGTCTGATTCTGGTTTGTTGGGGTCTGGGATGCATAGAGTTCCTGTTTGTTTTTCAGCTTTTAGGTGCAGACACAATCACCCTTCAGTCATGGGTTGTTTCTATCTGTATGGTCAGCTGTATTGTCCTTACCTCATCTGTTTGCACCCCAGTCAGATACAGGAGTGGGTTCTTTGCCTTGGTGTACTGAGGAATGTGGATGGTTACTGATGCCATGCTTACCGGAGAACTTCCTGTTGTTACCTATATAGAGAATAACAGGGGATGCAAATGCTGTCAGAAACACCACCCCTGATGCTAGTCAAGGCGAATGGAGAGTAGTAGCGTGGCTTGGGCAAGGAACTGAATCTCCCTAAAGATCAATTTTCACATAAAAATTAAGGATCACCCAAAATTCAGCGGCCATGTGCTCCCATGCTGTGTGTTCTCACTGGTGGGAATTAGGCTGTTAGTGTGTAAAACACGTGATACAATGGCTGATGTTTACACTCTTAATAGTGTAATTTTTAAAATCATGGATTGATTAAAAATCCTATAAAGCATGTGGTTACCATCCTCATTTTCTGAAACACAATCTGGATAACAAATCAAGATTCTTTTGTCATTAAAGACATGAACTAGTGTACCAGTGGAAATGCACAGAGACGGGACTGGTGTTGACTCAGGGAGGCAGGTGGATTCCTATTTACTTTTCAAGGTTTCTATAGTATTCTTTTCTAAAATAGCTATTCTCTTATAACTTAATTTATCTGTCTCTCTCCATCATACTCTGTGGCCCAGACTGGCCTTAAACTTACAGCAATCTCAGCTCAGCTTCCCAAGTTCTGGGGTTAAAGGTATCTTTCTTTGAATTTCTCCATATAACTGATTCCGATCTGTAGATTAATAGTTACCTATTCACAAATACTTACAGTCATGATGCACTGAATTGGCTCAAAGTATGTTAGATAGTTGTCACCATGACTGCACAAAAGCCCTATTTGTACCATGTACAAATGATGAGTTTTGCAAACAACACTGGTCTCCAGGCATAAAGTAGTGTAATGGACGCACCCACAGTAATGCTATGTAGCAATGCCTTGCTGGTTAATCTTGAATAATTGCTTTGAAAATATATCATTTCGATCTTACCAAGAACACACAACTAAACATAAGTTCCTGTACTTATCTGTCATCTACCTCAGTGTTCTCAAAGAGTGACACCCAAACTGGCAGCATCTGCAACATTGCCTGTGGCCTTGTCAGAGATGCACAGTTCCAGGGTCACCACAGAGCTTTTGAGTCAGAAACTCGAGATGAGGCTCAACCGTGTATGCTTTACCACGCTCTCCTGATCTTCCTGCACACTTAAGACTGACAGCCACTGGTGCACTGCAACCTCCTGTTGCTTTCTTCCCATCCTATACTCCTTTATTTCGTTCCTCCTCTTCCTGGTTTGTCATCTTTATGACAAGTTTACCAACCTTGAGAGAGAAGATGAATTTAGGTCCAATTTCTTCAACACTGTTTATGACAGAGGGAGCATTCTTATCCGAAGAGATTTCACAAAAATTTATGTTGGTGGATCTGTTGGGTGACATCAGTAAAACCAATTATTTTTGTTTTGCGGTTGCTCTTGAAGCATTATATTTATTTCACTTAAGTAGCTTCTGGCTTGGTTTACCATCAAAATGGTTCACTTTTACTTACAGAAGCACCAAATGATTATTTTTAAGCTTCCACACGAGAGGTTATCAGAATCTGTCTTTCTGCTTGACTGGTGTCTGGGGAATATAGTAATGGCAATTCTACCTACCACTGATGTCATTTGAATGCACATGGACACACATATATAAAATCTTGAGCCCCATAAATACTTAGAATTGTTAATTATTATTATTATGCAAAAGTTAAAAAAAAACCACATGTGAATGAATGCTTGTTAGAGTCCACAATCCAATGAATGTTTCTGAGACTAAAACAACTTCCTTTCAAATCATTCCCCATTCACTGTCTGTCTGAGGAGAGCCTGTGTGTTTATCAGTTGTCAGGTTCCTAACATAGGAATAAAAGCACTGCTTTAGAACTGACAGTTTCGTTAGTCTCCAGACTTCTGTTACATTAGCAAGTGTGTTGGAAAGGTAGACACTTCAGCTTTGGAGGTTGGATTGGATCTGTAAGCCAAGATCTTTTTCACTTGCTGTATGTAGTACAATGGTGGGTACCAGCTATTAGCTCTTGCAGTATTCATTACTAAATACCTTTCAAACAGGGCATGAATTTATTTTATTAATCTTTCTCTAGTTTTAGACCAACCCAAATAGTTGGCAATGAATTGAGGGTGGATTGAATTTGTTTCCATCATCATAGAACCACTCTTAAAATTCAAGATTTTATTATGAGATCTTGACTGCATGATTTAGGATTCCTGATTAATGCCTGCAAGTACAGCAATGCCCAGGCCAGAGGATTCCCCAGGACACTGTTCAGATGTGGTGAAACTGTACACCTTTCCATTTTCACACTTAGGTCTGGTGTTTCGAGGCTATAGTCCAGCCAGAGCAGCTTCTTTGCATTGTGTGGAATGCAAAAGGGCTGGTAGCCAGAGTAGGATTCTGCAAAGTATTCTGCATATCCTTCCATACATCCCAGGGGACAATTAGTCTAAATTGTAGGATGCTCAATCCATTTCCTAAAAGAATGGACTAGACATTTTCTGAGACAGAATGTTTTCTATCCTCTGGCACCTCTGTCTCTTTCTCTCTTTATCTCTCTGTACCTGTCTCTATCCCTGCCTTCCTCTCTCTGTCTCTTTCTCTGTCTCTTTCTCCTTCTCTCTCTCTCTTTCCCTCCTTCTCTGTCCCCCTCTCTGTCTACCCCCATCTCTCATCTCTCTCCATTTTTTTAAAGAAAATTCTTCCAAAATTTCCAAAGGAAAACCTGTCCCAGGGAGAGTTAAACATATTGGTATTTGTCAGGGTTTTATGTGTATGTGAGGAAACAATGATGTGTCAGCCTTTTATGGAAAATGAGAAAAATGACTGGGACTTGAAACAGAAAACCCAGCTATGTGTGCATGAGCTATCCTTTTTGCCTTCCAGATGTTTATGCAAGCCCCTAAACAGAGCCAACTCTTAAATTGATTGATAGGGTCTGCTTTTTGTATTTTAAGGAGATCTGACAATTTTCCACTTTTATGGACATTTTCTCTAGATTACTTAAGGGTTATAGTACCAGTAGTCTAATGAGGATCCTGTTAAAATAATTCTATTTGTATTTATCATATGCATAGAATATAATGACATAAGTATACAATATTATAGTGGCTACAGAGGGACATGATATAGATGGGACTTTTCTCAAAGTTTTCAAAATCTTAAAACTTTCTTTACAGTATTATTTTTGAAGGTTACACAGGCAATAGTGTGAAACAACCAAATATCTAATTACTGCTGGAGTGGTTACATGGATTATGACTTATCTGGAAATAGAATGAATTAGATATGTATATCCTGCTGTGAAAACTACATAAAGATATAAAAAAGAATGTTTTAGTATTACATTTTAGTAGGTAAAATGATGGAGTGTGTGTGTGTGTGTGTGTGTGTGTGTGTGTGTGTGTGTGTGTAACGTCATAGATAAATTAACTCTTTGTATAGAAGATATTCCAAAATAGTCTTGTTAGTCCTTTATGAGGACTGTCATGAAGGTGGTGGAGAATGCTAACATCACTTTTCATTCTGTGTCTTACTGAAATGTTTGTATTTTTCAAATACACTCATGTAATTTTTTTTTAAAGAGAAGTATGTGGGGAACCATCTGGGTGTAGCATGAGAAGTCATTTCTTTCAAATTCTCCATAACAATTTTTTTACCATATATCTTAGCATTTTAAGACAAACTATAGACTGTAATATGAGAATGAACTAGAATAAAAATTTCAATCACAAAAAACACATGGCTAAGATGTTAGTAAAAGTAAAGTCCTATTTTAATCCCATATTCATTCCATGTCAACATACCTGAAAAAAATATAGACTCTCACTGATTGTGTTTAAGAGACTACAGAATTGTATACATTAGAGGGAAAAAGTGATGTGGTAACACACATCACCTTAACTTTGTCATAAATTAACTTATTTTAGCAAAAAGATTTTTAGAAACTCTAGCTACTGATACACTGGGTAACATGGGCTATATTTTGTTTCTATATGTGCCTTTGTGACTCACTTCATACAGACATGTTCTTTTTATCTTTGCTCATGTGTCTCAAGAGGATGCCGTGTGTGTTCTTTTCAGTTTTGTTTTGTGATTATGAGCTTTCATGGACTGGGCTGGCAAGGTAGCAGTTAGAAAATGTGATTGCCTACATACTTACTGGGAAACCAGTGCTGCATGTTTTCAGGGGTCTTTGATTTACACAGGGAAGTGGCCTTAGTTCTGAGAGTGAACTAAGATGGTATCTGCCTATAACACCTGTAAGGTTTATGTGTTACCCATTTCCCAAGACACCTGCCTCTTGGAACAATTAAAGGTAACTGGTGTCTACTGGTAACATTTTAACCACTGTCCTCAGGTTGACCTGTGTTGGAAGGCAGAAAAGGAAATAAGAAAGAAAAAGGAATAAAGCCTTTCTTCATGGATGACTTCCTTTGGAAAATCCCTCATTTCCTCCTGGTTGGAAGAAAACCGTCACCAGTCATGTCTGGAGTTTTCCGTTAAGAAGCTGGACTTGGTCTAGTTTCCACATCAGCTTATTCATTTTTTATTTGTTGTGCCCCTTAGATGTCCAAAACATGATGCTGAGGACTTCCATGTCCAAAAAACAGGAACTCTCACAGCCTCCTAAGTCTGTTTCACCATCTTAGTTACAGGCACCTTACCACCTTCAGGGGTCGTTGACCTATGGCATGTGATGAAACCACGTTTCCTCTGGTGCTGTTCCGAGTCAGTAAATCTAAAAAGTCAAGTGTTCCTAGGCATCAATTTGTCTTCATGTTTCTGGTCTAGTTGACAAGTGGGAGATAAACCCATGTGCTTAAACTACAGTCTTAACTGTAGTTATGAGCTCATGATTTATGTACCAGGGTGCTGTCGGGTAAAAACCTACCCACCGTGCAGCAGACTTCACCTACCGGGTTAGGTGAATTTCGGCATCATACAGAAGAGGGATCTTGAGACTGACTGAGTTGTCTGCTTTGTTTGCCTCTTGGCTCTCACTGTTAAAACAAGTATTAGAAATTACTTAAAAGGAACTCACATAAAACCCACCAAGCATATGTTTATGATTGCATTGCATCTTACCTGAAGGCTTGAAAATGGATGGATGCCTGATTATGGAGGTTTTGAAAGTTGAAGTCAAAGTTGATGGTAAAAGTCACCTACACATGACATTAAAACCCATCAATCTGTGATACTTTATACTAGGAAAAATGTTCCCCCGCAAGGTGAATCTATTCTCGTATAACTCTCGTATGAGTTTCATGTCTTAAAAATTTTAAGTTTGTATCTGTCCGTCTTGCCTACCTGAGAACCAGAGCTTAACTTCTATCAGATATGTATGCCATCCAGTTACACTTGTCAGAATTGTCAAGCATTGTGGTGGTCTGAAAGTTACTTACAGCATTTTGACCAATGTTAGTCATCATAATCACATGGGAGAGCATTGCATGCTGTTTGTACACTTGGGAAAAGGTACGTGGGGAAACATGACCTTTGTTAGTGATTTAAAGAGAGTAACCCCAGCGAGGGAAACCTTTCTAGCTACGTGACTGGGATTTTTGTGGGGTCTGTTTAATGATGATGCCTGGTAAATACAGTGAGTGCTCTCAGGTGTGGAGAGCTTGGATTAGATGATGCAAGCTGTACCTCCTGTTCACTGTTTAAGGCGGGATATCCCACATCACAGGTAACAGATTTCTGCGATGCGCCAACCTGGCATGATACTTCTGTTCCATCGACCTGAAGAGGACCAGAGAAATAACAATTAAGTGTGTGTGTGTTCCCACACTGAAAGGCAGACATCTTACCAGTGATACTGGTTTATAGTGAAATAGTTTGTTGCTCTCAAAGATTTGAATATCTTGTATTATCCGAGTGGTTAATGTGTTTTTATTGCCAACTCTAAAGGATTGGGGAAATGTACTCTTAGATGGAAATCAGTTTTTGTATTTCAGAAGCACAAATATCTTTAACATAGTATTCAAAAGCCTTATATTTAGTAGTACTTTCTTCATAATGTATTTGAAATGCATCTTTTTAAAAGAAGAAAAGTACATTTTGGTGTTTGTGTTTTAGATATCTAACAGATTTTGCCAATTTCCCACAGTTCCTTTTGTCTTTCATCTAGGAACTGCTATCCAGCACAGGCCATTTAAACACGAGGACAGCATAGGCTTGGAATTCTAAATTTATAAAGTTCACATGAACTTGAAACAGAAACATTTTTATATCCTTTAATCAAGCAGCCCGGTTGGAAAATAGCTTTCCTTCTTTTCTGTTTTTTTTTTTTTCCTCCCCATGGCTTGAGAGCAGGGGAATTAGCAAGGGGCTCTCTTGGTTATGTCTATTCCTGGTTTAGTGATCAGGTCAACAGAGTGGCTGTGCAGGAATGCACCATCTTAGCACCAGAAGTAGCAGCATCGCAAAGCAGGGACCACATTGTGGACTGGATGCCACTGAGCAAGTGCACCACATCTGTGGAGCCCAGGATTGACAGGGGGCCTCCTCACAGTGCAGATGGTTGATGTTAGTAGTTGCTGCCGCCAAGGCCTGGGCTAAAGGAAAAAGTGACCCTGACTGCAAGCAGAGCGGCCCTAGATTCGGAGCCAGACTGCATTCTCAGGAGGGTTTACTAACTGGAAGCCACAAGGTAGAAGTGAGCATGCCCAGGGTCAGCTCTGTGTTTTTTTTTTGTTTTTGTTTTTTTTTTTTTTCAGACAGCTCGGAGGACACAGAGGTCTGAGTATCAGAGACAGCTATTGGCCGAGCGGAATGCTGTGAGGGGGTGGTCGTTTGTGGGAGTGCCTGTAGGGTTAGGGGGTAGGGATTTGTTTGTGTGTGTGTGTGTGTGTTGGGGGTGGGGTTCCTCATGTACCGGCATGGAAAAAGAAGCAAAAAACAAGTTCTCTGAAAATTCCGCCGCGACTGCAGTGTTGTATGCGCTCTCCCCTCTGTTCTTCAGTGTGATTGAAAATGTTAACCTTTTGTTCTGGTTGCTGACAATAAAGGGTTGATCTCTGTTTAAACAAGAAAAGAGAGGAAGATAAAGCCGCTGAAGTTGAAACTACCCCCGTATTTAAAAACTTTCTTGATTCAAGAAATTCTTAGCATTTTTTTTGACGATTAATAATGAAAGACTTTCTTCATAGTAAAATGATGCTGACAAGTAAGCAAATGATGCTGGATTCTGATTCTTTGTTGCTTCTAATTTTTGCAGGGACGAGAACTGCTCAAATCCTGCAGTTTGGTATTTCTCGTGGTTTTACTCTTAGGAGAATGGTAGAAGTTGAACTTCAGTTTTAAAATGTCTTAACTATATTCAGAAAACTTCCTCTGTAGAAAAGAAGTCCACAATTTTATCTTGAATGAAGAGATGTAATGTGCCTTTTATTTCTACATTTTTCACAGAAATGCAAATTCTCACATACTGAATGGCTGGCAGATCTCTGACATCCAGGATCAGG